CGTCAGGACGCCGGGTGCCCCCGGGCTCTTAAGGAGCTCTGCGGCCACGCGGGTAGCAAGGCGGAGAGCCGGGAGCAGGGGCCCGCGGGGGTAGGCGCGGGGAGTGCTCAAGTCACTCGGCCCGTCGGCCAGTGAGCGCCGCGCCCCGGGACGCCCCTGACCAATAGGAAGCGAGGAGGTTTGTGAGTGGCATTAAGGGAGGGCGGGAGAGAAGGAGCCCGGGAGCGAAGTTGAAGCTAAACCCCGTAAGCCATAAAGAAGTTACAGGGGGGCGTTTTCGGCTTCCAGTTAGGAATAATACTGGCTTCGTAGCAACTACTGAGGAGGAGGATTCTAAAACCACCTCACCCGTCCCAAAGCCCGCACCCCCCTCCTTCTCCCATGCACCCCTCCCCCAATTCATAATCAAGGAAAGAAAAGAGAGCTGGGGCGCGCTCTGCTCCTCTCTGCCGGTGGGAAGCGGAGAGGCCTGAGGAGTTGCTTAGTTGGACGTAAGCATGAGTACAATTAAGAGGCGGGCGCCTCCGCACCCTTTGCCGTCAGCGGGGACTGAAGGTAGGTGAAGCGGAAGACACCCTGCGCCCTCCTAGAGGCGCCCGCAGCTCTACGGCGGAGGGGGAGAGGCCAGGGCCTCCCGCACCGCCCCCCCTCCAAGTGCCTGCGAGGGGCTGTCGCGAATGTGCCACCTGTTAACCTGGCGCTGCTGTGCCCGGCGTGTTGCCGCCCCTGCTGGGCAAGGAGAGCGCTGGGTCGCCTCCTCGGGAGTCCCGAGGGACTTGATGTGTAAGTGCCACTTTTTCAGGAATCCTTGAGACTTGAGACCCAAGGTAGAGAGCCAAGTTCCCAACCTGCCAAAGTCGGGGGGAATGAAAGGCTCCCGAGCGCGGTGGAGGAAGTCTGATTTGCGGAAACCTGCTTTCCTAGGACGTGCGCCTGGCCTGGGCGGGGGCCTGGGGACCAGAGGCCGAGGGGCTCCTAAGGGTCTTCAAAAATCTGCGTTCCGTTGTTTGGGCAACTTCCCAGGGGGCTGGAGAATGTGTCTGGCAGGAGTGAGAGAATGCGAGCATTATACGCAGAGGGCTCAGTCTCGCTGCTGATCTCTCCGTATCTTAACAAACACGCACACAAACCAAAACACCGAGCCCGGCGAGGAAAGCGGAGGCGCGCTGAGGCCCTTTCCGGCCATTTTTTGGAGTTCGGGCGAGCGCGTGAGTGATTGTGGAGCGGCAGATCTCTTACGCTCTGATGCTGTTGTCTTCACAGTGGCCTGAAAGAGCTGTCCGGCATTCCCGTTCTTCCCAAAGGGGCTCGGAGCCTCCTCAAAGGCCGCGGGACTGAGAGCAAACGTCGGGGATTATTATGTCGAATTTCCGAGGACCGGGGTTCGCAGCTCGGAACCGAAGAAAAGGCTGGCTCCTCGGGAGTCCCGCCGGCATTTGAAACCCAGGGACGCCTAGGATTGCCCAAATTGCCGAGGATCAGCAACTTTCCTCTACTGGCATCTCATATTTTTAAAGAAAATATTTTCTGTTCTCCACGTTGGTCTTTTACTACCAACAAAACACTGAAGCAAAGACTTCAGTCTCGTCATTCAAAGCATGCTTTATATATGTTTGCCAAATATGATCTCTAATTGAAAGTTTATTTTTGGTTTTGGATGAATCTGTGGAACTTATGTTGTAAGAAGAAAGAGGGAACGAGACACGATGAAAGAGAAGTCCAAAAATGCTGCCCGGACTAGGAGGGAGAAGGAAAACAGTGAATTTTATGAACTGGCTAAATTACTGCCTTTGCCCTCGGCTATCACCTCGCAGCTGGACAAAGCATCCATAATCAGACTCACCACCAGCTACCTCAAAATGAGAGTAGTGTTCCCAGAAGGTAAGTGACTTGGCCCAGATGGAATTTCAAAGGCAGAAGGGGTACAGGATTTGCCAGTGAATGAGCCTACATCACTGGGCAGAGAAGTACATTCATGCTTCCCTGCAAAGGGACGTTTAGCATGGCTGCTTAAGTAAGGACCTCTCTGGATTTAGAATTTCGGTTGCCTTTCCTGTAGCTCTTTCTACCTCTCCATTAATACTTTCTCTTCAGCCCATCAAATATGTCTGATTGGGAAGCAGCCCAACAGTGCTTTTGTCAACACTTAGATAGTGGGCTCAATATTGAAACTGCTACTAATCTAAACATGACTTTCTCTTTTTTTATTCCTCTTGTTAGAATTGTATCTAGTAGAGAGCAGGAACACCTCCAAATTCTTGTATTTTTGCCATGTCTAGATTGCCCCATGTACATGGAGATAATAATCTAAGCCAGATAATATTTTCTATGTCAGTAATTCAGTAAATGGGGAGCAGGCATAGTCATGAACAAGTACGTCCTGAATTTACCCAGCCTCTTGATTGCTTATAGCAAATGTATTTTGAGTTTTTGAGATGTTCACAGATTCTGAAGCTAACTCTGAGGCTTGGTGATTTGCATCTCTTGGCTTGGTATTTTCTGAGATGTAAGATTGAATTAAGATGGCTAGCCTACTTAGAAAATATCTTCTAGGTGGCAGGTTGGCAAACGGATACCTGGGGAAATTGTCTTATAGGGCCTAGAAGTTAGAATAGCTGAGCTATTGGCATGATTTAAAATGTGTATTTAGATTATCAAGATTTCCCTGTGTGAGGACAGAGTAGCCTTCATCGAACACTGTCTTATATAAAATCATTTACACTCACTAGGAGAAGGACTCTTTTCTGTTTCCCCATCCTTTCCTTTACCCATATTCAAATAACATGAAAGGATTAAAAATATTTTAGATATGTCTTTGCTGGGAGAGGGGGATTTGGAAATGTAAAGAAGAGAATATTAAACAAACAAAACTCCAAGAGAAAGAACTCTGTTTACTTACAAACTAGAACTTCTTATTTGACCCTGAGAGGTTTATGTTATTGTTGATTTTAGATGTTTGGGGTTTGTTGTTTTCTTTTAAGGAAATAGGGGGAAGGAAATAGTCATTATCGGGCTTTGAGTTTCACTCTGCTTTATCTTGACTAAAAGTTATTACTGGAATCAAAATCTTGCAAAACATGACCCCAGGTTAGTCAGGGCACTAAAGGAAAACTTTCAAATTATAGTTCAGTTTTACCCCCAAAACTGTAAGTAGTGTTACAGTAATTTTGTCTTAAAGCAGTTCCTTGAACAATCTCATCTGACCCTGGAAACCACAAGAGGAGAGGCATCAAAACCTAACGTACCCTAAAAATTAAA